AAAGAAAGAAAGAAAGAAAGAAAGAAAGAAAGAAAGAAAGAAAGAAAGAAAGAAAGAAAGAAAGAAAGAAAGAAGTGGATGGTACCAAAAATAGTGTCAAATATTGCTTTCAGGTGCCTTCTTTTCTTCAAGAAGTTTGAAGAACCCTTGGAAAGATGGCTTATTGAAAAGAATGACTAATCATTTGCCATCTCTTCCCAACTACACAGAGATGACAGGGCAGAAACTAGAAAACAGATCTTCCTCCGTAAATAATGAGAGGAGGGAAAGGAGGTTTCATCAAAAGTGGAAATTTGGCCTCAAAAGCACTTAAGTAACAATCATTGAACCAGCTTTAGCTGACCTTATAAGCAGCTCCAGAACATCAGCTAACTCTTTTCTATTGCATGGAGTTTGTGGGAATTTATACTGGTAGTCGGGGTCAATGTTGATCCAGTTAGGTTGGAATTCAACTTGCCCAAGCACTCAGGTGTCCAGTCAATTGAAGTCACGGGAGTCATGATGTCATTGCGCATATGGCTACAAATTTCATCGTTTACACCAATTGCGGTAATGCAACATTTATGAGATAATACAGTATGCAATGTTGTTACGGCGTGGGCCAGGTGCTTGTGTGCAAAGGCTTGTTGGATGTGCCTCCTTGGGGTTGAAGTACCTCCAATCTGGTCTTAAGGCACTAGGCAGATAGACGTAGGAGAACTAATAAAGAATTATTTTCATCTACAGTAAACCATGCACAGTAAAAGCTGAAGGGTAAGGCAAGGAGGGAAAAAAAGCTTGATTTTGAAAAACGTTTCCTAGACTGCCTTTGAGCAGAGGTCTCCAAACTTGGCAACTTTAAGACTTGTGGATTTCAACTCCTACAACATAGCTGGCTGGAGAATTCTGGGAGTTGAAGTCCACAAGTCTTAAAGTTGCCAAGTTTGGAGACCTCTGCCTTTGAGGGTGATTTGCTGGTTCAAAAATGTGTGCGTAGCACATGTTTATCAATATTGTCCTTCATAAGGAAGACACTTGATGAAAAACATTTCACATGCTTTTTTTAGATGTCAGATTCAACTTTAAAATGCATTAGGTCAGGG